GGGTCTCACTGTACATAGCAGTTCTCCAAGTGAGTCTGCATCACAGTTCACTGACACAGTTGGTGTTTGGAAGGTTTTTATGGAAACTTTTTTGTTTTCCTGGAAGATTTACATTTCAAACATGGCTAATGTAAAGCACAGCGCAGTGCCAGTGTCCGTCAGTCATCTGATGAGTGGTGGATCCCCTTCAAGACAACCAAGTCCTTTAATCCCATCCCAGATCAAGCGATGCATCGGACCCTGGAGTACTTGTGCAGCACAGTACTTGATTGCGAGATTGCTAACTTTGTTCTTTCGGTGAGTCTGCGGGATTAGAGACGGAGGGTGTCCTTTTTTCGGGCTAGGTATTCCGGGTTGCATTATTCTCGAGGTATGTCCAGGGAGTCTTCCCGAGAAAATGGAGAAAAAATAAATGAATGAATGAAGCGACTTCGAATGCATTCTTAAACGTTCCCAGGGACTGATTTCGTATGTCCGTCCTGAGTTTGACTGAGTGAGTGAGAGAAGCGGTTGATGAGCATTTTCCCTGGTTGCTCCTCTTTTTTTTTCTTCTTATTTCTCGTTCCCCCCACGTCTTCTCTGATGGTCTCGGGCGGCGGGTGTTTAGGCTGGGGAAGCAGCAGCAGCAAAGAAGACAAGAGGGAGCAAGAGGTACCAGAAAAAGGTCCTTGGGAGACTGAGGCAATGAATCCCTGGGCTGTGGCCGGAGGCAATCATCTCCCGGCAATGGCCGCCGCCAGCCATGACAGCGGCCCGGGGAATTGGATTATCTCCGCGGGCGCCGAGTCACGATGACGCCGCTCCTCCGCCACAAAAACCCGCCGGATTCACGCCAACGTTTTTCCGCCCTACTATTTCCCCCGCGCCAGGGTCAACGATCCTGCACACCAGAGGGCGCTTTTTCCGCCTTTTTTTCCCCCTACAGTCCCCCGCACTGCGCTAAAAAAAAAAACGAAAAACAAGCGACAGAGATGAGAGGCACAAAAAAAAGGAAAAGAAAAGCGGCGAAAACGGGACAAAGACAACCCAACCCCTCTTTTGTGGTCAAAACATGACCGGGATCGCGTGAACAAAAACAACCCCTCAACTCCGAAAAAACATTCCACCCCAGGAAATCAGCAAAACTGCAAAAAATAGCCACCCCTTTTCTTTCCCAAATATGCCCGACAAAAAACCCCTCTGCAAAACAAAACATTATACCAGAGCAAAAAATATACAAAAAAAATCAACCTGCCGAAAAAGTATTTTGTAAGTCCGCAGCAGAAATCGAGCGCGAAAAAGAAAACAAGCCAAAGCGGATTCCAACTAAGAAACTAATTGTTTTCATCGGGGATCAAAGAATCATTGAAATTTCAGCTATGTGTTTTTTTCTGGAAAGAAGAATGCTTGGATTGCGTTTAACGCCACAGTGTTTGCCCAACCATGTGATTAAACGTATTCATTCCCAAACAGTTCACAAAGTTGTGATTCACGCCAGGAAATTTTTGAAATTTCACTGGAACCCTGTTGCAATTTCTAGCTTTGTTATTGATGAACACCTGCTTTCTCATTTTAAAAATTGGGTTTTCAAAAAAGTTGTGCATTCCACAGAAGTCAGAGGCAGAAGTTTCACATTTTTCAAAACTCTGTGCTTACCCGTAGCAATCCAAAAGCATAGCTTCAGGAAAAAAAATTAATCAATTTTCCCCTCAGTATTTCAACCAGTTCTTTTTGGGAGGAATTCTTTGACTGACCTTTCAGCATTTCCTTACACACTCTATCCCAAGTGGGGAGCTATTCTTTGTGACCCCACAAATGGTGCACACTGGGGTCACAATTTGTGAACATGGGCTATTCTGGAGTTACAAGCTTGCACCTCTGTAGACAAAATTTTTCTACCATTCCTGGGCTACGTTTGGTGCACAAATGTGACACAACAGGAGTATCACACAAATGCACCAACTGTAACCTTTGTGTAACTTATTTGTTTACAAATGTGACCCTGAGTAATCCTGGTGTGAACACACAATTGGTGCACATCAGGGATATGCATGTGCAACAGAAGAACTTTAAGAACTTTGGTACACTTCAGGTGCACAGCAGGGTCACTGTGTAGAATTACAAACATATCCCCAGTTTTTACCAATTTCCCCACTCCGGTTTAAGGTGCAAAACTCAACAGTTCTGTCAAAAGTAGGAACATTTCTTTCCTTGGAATACTGTATTTGTAATTGTACTTGATTTCTGTGTGCCACAGACCTCTCTGCATGATCCCCATTCTAAGTTTTACAAACAAATATACAAAATTCCTCCAAACGCCATTCTGCTTTCAAGAAAAAGGGCTCTTACATTTATTTGTTGCACGAATTTGCAGAGCAAAGTACTGTACACTACAATACAACCCATTTCAGCTCTAAAGGACTCTAAGTTGCCAGTGGCTTTGAATGACGTGAAAACAACTTGCTTTCAAGGAATTCCCAAGAATTCAGAGGCCTGAAGTGATTTTTCTGACCAATTCCGAAGGTGTTCTATTTCAAGCTTTTTTTTCGCCAAAAGTTTAATGAAGTTGGGTGTCTTCAATTTCCTGAAACATGTTTGGACACAAGACTGATGTTGTAAGACGGCGGTTCTAATTAATAATGGTGAAAATATCCCACAAAAAAGGTAAAACGGTCGTGAAATGTTCGGAGGAACACCTGCGAATAATGTTAAGAGTAGACCACATTTTTCCTAGACCGATAGTCGCAGGTGCAAAGGGATGCCAACTAATTTTCGAAAGGCGTGGGCTCGTGATTGACGTTCTCCTCTTGCAACCAGCTTTTTTTCTTTCAACTGCGATAAGTCTAGATTTTTCAAATTTTTAATTTTGGATTGACATGGTTGAAAATGCTCATGTAATCAATGAATTGGAAAAGTTACAACGATGTCCTTAAAATGAGGTCATTGCAATGATTTCATGCATCAAGATGCACAACGGAGTCCGGGGCTTTCAGTTTAGTGATGACTCAATAAAAGGTGTTGTTGGGTAGTGCAGTAAGGTCTTTGGTAATTAAGATACAGTATCAGCAAAAACCGCAGAAAATTTATTTGCCCTTATGCCCAATTCAATTTAAATTAAGCAATAAAAAGCCTGAATTCTCACAACCTCCACCCCCCCCCCAAATTGAAGTGTCCCACCTGAAATCTATGAAATCACAAAAATAAGAATATTCTATCATCAGTCTGAATTTGTGCATAGGAGCTAATGGGTTCTGTGTGCATTTAAAAAGACTACGATTTCTCAGCATCCATTAAATCAAGGTATCTTTGCAAAATTTCAAATAACAGAGTTCCCAGCAAGTCCCAGAATAATTTTAGCGTGGTGTCACACGCAACAATCATGCAGCATGGGATCTAGTCACATATTTTAAAAAAGAGGGGATTCCATCAGAGATTTTAAAATAAACTTTTGTGTGCATCATGCATATACACTGTGCATTTGAAACTTGTAAACTCAACAAACTACCCCATTTACTCAAGTACCAAGTGCACCTTTTTTCTCAAATTTCAGAAGAAAAAATGGGGAGCGCGTCATGAGCAGGTAAAAAATTTTCAAGAAGTTTTCGGAAGTTATGTGTGCATTGTACTTAATTATAATGGAGACATTTGGAAAAATGTAACAATAAAACTTTTTTGTGCTGAAAAAGTTGAAAATTGATCAGATTTATGTTTTATTCATGTCTAAATTTGATTTTTTGTTTCTATTTTCCTAATTTTGTGGTTTTAGATTCACTAAAAATTGGGGTGCGCGTCTTATCGTCTTACTTGGGGATAAGATTTTAGCCAAATTTCCAACTGAAAAACCCCTGTGCGTGGTACTCAAGTAAATACAGTAAATACTTTGAAGGACAATATTGAGAGCTTTAATTTGTCTGATTTTGCTTGAGCCTTCTTGCAGTCACAGCTCTTACAATTTTGAACCAGAAAATTCCTAAAAGTGTTCCCTGATGCATCTTACACAGGGGTTTGTAGTAAAGAATGAAATAGACAAGGCGCGTTTCATGAAACAAATGTTCAGCATAACGGATTGGTGGTTGGCGAAGAAAATGACTCAGAAGCCAAATGGGAAAGACCCTTTGTTCCAGACAAAAATTGCTGGAACGTTGGAAAAGTCGTCAGCAATACCCGTAACTTATGTTTACANCAGAAGCCAAATGGGAAAGACCCTTTGTTCCAGACAAAAATTGCTGGAACGTTGGAAAAGTCGTCAGCAATACCCGTAACTTATGTTTACACGCAAGTGAAAATGAACCATCATAAAATTCAAAATTGCCCGGGGAAACTAATGAACTGTTCCTGCGCAATAACAATTGCATTTTCGATGAGAAAACACTATTTTCCTCGATACAGCATTGTTTATGGGAAATTAAACGATTTCACTTACAATATGCCTCTTAAAGGGACGATATAGTAGGTAAATATTTATACTGAATATGTTTTTGCACAAGTAAGCCTCTTCAACATGTTCTCAAGTGAGATGGCGGACATGAACCAGCGTTGATGAGGTTACAGACACTCTTTGAAGGAAAGTAACAAACAATTTGACAATCCTACAGCTTCAAAACAGCTGTACTTGAGTCGATATTTCAGGGGAATTCAGCAAGCTCGCATTTGAAGAGCAATTTTCAACCTTTTCCATTTTGTTTTGCTTTTCCCCTCTTATTTGGAAGGAGGATAAAAAAAAAGAACAAGACATGGTGGTAAGCAACATACAGGTATCCTCTGAAATGGAGTTCCCCAACCTTTTTGGGCCCATGGACCAGCAAAGTTTCATAACATTTTTGCAGACTTACCAACATTTTGCTTGAATGATATTAGGCAGGAATTTCAAAGAAAAATTCAGTCAAGAATGTTATTGAACAATTAGAAATGTTTGCTTGGAGAAATGTTTTATGAAAAATTGAAATAATTTATTTCAGCAGGTGAAAATTTGTCTGAGGAGTTATTATGGAAAAAGCCAACTTTTGTTAACATCAGATAATTCAACTGCCATTGTCCTCTAAAATTTTCAGTTAAAGAAAACAAACTTCATCCTGACTTTCAATAAATGCATGATGCTGAAAATGTCCCATGGCTTGGCAAAATATTTCTGTGGACCATTGCCAGTCTGCAGACCAAGGATTGCACACACTGTGCTAGGACATTGTCTTCCAACCTGTGAAGTATTTGCTGGTCAACTGGGAAATTTTCTTTGGCATAATACTACACATTTATCAAAAGTAGCATTGAAGTCTGTTATCTTTATCTGGAATTTTAGAAAGGCAGCGGCAGTTGAAATTATCTGCTGAAACATAAATGTGGGCTTTTCTCCAGATAACTTCCATTGAGACAAATATTCATCTGCTGAAATAATTTATCTTAATTATTCATTATGAGAAACCTTTTTTGTCAGCCCACCTTTCTAATTGTTTGAGGACATTCCACTGAAGATGCTTCATTGGTTCTCAACTTGATTGTTGCAGAAAAGAAAAAAAAATTGTGTATCTACATGGAGTCTACTTGTCAGATGTCCAGTTGTATTTCATGGATTGTATTTTCTTTTATTTTTGTTATCAATTTGTGCTCTGTTTCCTGCTCTGAAGAGATTAAATGTCATTGAGTGGATTTGGGTTGGGTGGGAAAGGGGTTTGGCTGTGGAAATCTTGATCAAACCTTGTGAATGCTGAAAAGCTGCTAGTGTTCTGTTCATTCATTCATTCATGGAGTCTTTCAAACAAAACTTATTGGAGTCCTCTAAATTTTTGCCAGTCTGCAGAAAACTTTTGGAAAATTTTCTGGTTTAAAAAAAAATCCTTGGAAATTTGCCAGTCTGCAGGCCCAAAAAGGTCAGGGAACACTGCTCCAAGTTATGCATAATTTATGCTATAGAACTTTATGGATTGGTAGGAAATGACATTGAGAATTTATTTGAATCTGGGTACGTTGTTGACTCATTGACGCATGGTGGGCAGATACAAAGAGGTGCTTGTGGTACGCGAGTAAATACGGTGCCAGGGATCGTCATTCGCGCATGATTTGGCGCACGAAAATGTTAGATTGAACCCCCTTGATCACTTTGTTTTTTTTTTTTTTTTCTTCCCCCTGAAATCAAGTGGAGAGAACATGACAAAAGCAGAGCGGAGAGGAGAGGAAGGCAGGAAGGAAGTTGGAGACTTGGTGACCACGACAAACAAAGAAACACACTGACCAGGGAAGTAAGGGAACGGGGCATTCGGCGGGATGTCGTCGCAGCCCGGCGGCAGCGGGCCACGCAGTCGGCCGTGTCTGCCGCCGCCTGGCCCGTTCCGGAAGAAGTTCCGCCTCGCGTTGATGGCCGACAACTGCTTCATCCGCCGCTCTTTGCTCCTCCGGTTCTGGAACCACACCTGGGCCGAGCGTGTGTACAGGGCACACGAGAGGCAGGGAAAAGAACAAGAAGAAGAAGAAGCGACATGAGCAACATTTTCCACGTCATCAACTCGTCACGCGTCATCAACGCAGCACCACCGCCACCCCCCGTCCGACTGACTGACTAATCACCTGGATAACCCGCATCGTCAGCCCAGTGTCTTTGGCGAGCTGCTCCCGGATGTGACGAGTGGGTTTCGGCGTGGACGCGAAGGCGCTCTTGAGGGTCTCCAACTGCTTGGCCTTGATGGTCGTCCGCGGGCCGCGTCGTTTCCCGGTCGGGTTCCCGTCGTCCTTGAGTCCGTTGTTGTTGCCGTCGCCCTTGTCGTCGAGCTTCGAGTCCTTGGCGTCGCCGTCGCTGCGTTCCGCCTCTGCAGCCGGGGCAAACACAACACAACATCGTCATTAGCACGGTGGCGGCGGCGGCGGCGGTGGCTTATTGGGGTGCGCCTGTGGCGGCGGCAGCAGCCCGAGGGAGGGGATCGAAGGGAGAGGAAACTCGACACCAGCACATGCACGTAGTACCCCCGTCAACACGTGGGCCGACAGCTCGTTCTCACGCTATGAATAGCTTAGTCTCGGCTACTTGTTACCCAGACGTTGGCTTTACTGCCGCCCGTTGTTCACCCCCACGGCCCTATAGTATCCGCAATTCACGCCCAGACTTGACACATTGTTAACGGGAGCATCCTCGTTAATGATCTCTCTCTCTCTCTCTCTCGTACACCCTACACCCCGACCCTCAGGGGGTGGGGGGTTTTGCTGACGGGGAACGCGTGCGTCTGTCTGCGTGACAAGCTTGAATATCATCTTCACTCAGGTTCAGTGCTGGGGTCTTTCATCCAGAGACTCCTTCCTGTTTTCGCTTGTTTGTACTGTACTAATCTGTCAGAAGCATCCTAGCCATCAGTTATGGGATCTCTTTGAACAACCGATTTTTTTTTTTTTTTAAATTTAAACAACTGCGAGTGGTCATCCCAAAAAGAAGCCCCTGCTTATTAACAACTATATACAAGCTTGGTCATTATTCACTCGTGAGTTTCTGCTTTTCTGAGCCAGCAAGAATAAAGTAAAGTCAACCCGCAATAAGATGCCACCCTTTGTCCAGAGCAATTTTGGCGGTTTAAAGACGTTGGCGGTTTATGGAATATTTAATTTTAATTATTCGATCTAAAATACTTGAATTTCCCCCAAAAGTCATAGAGATATGACTATACAGGTTATGTATAGAAACTTTAGTAATTTTCCAAAGAATATTGCTGTGATCAATGGATTACTCTTTCAGAAAATAAATTTTGCTGCATCAATTTATTCAAATTTCAAGATTAGGTTAACATATTTTTCAAAGTTTTCAACATAATATTTTTTTTTTTTACAAATACAAGATCCTTGGCAGAAATTTTAATTCTTCCCCAATGTTGGCATTGTAACAAAAACAAAACTAATTGGAAACTTCACTTTTGTTTCATCAATAATGCTGGTGGATGGCGGTTGACATCTTATGGAGGTTTTCTATAGACTTTAACATAGAGGAGATTTGTTTCATTCGAAATTTTGGCGGTTGCCAAGGGCGGCGTTTTAATGGGGTTTGACTGTACAAAATCCCTAGATGTTTTATTAATTGTAAAATACAGTACAGGACTTCTTTTTGTGTTTGTTTGCATGACAGGTCTTGTGTTCGCGGTTGCTAGTTTCCAGAATTTCGGAATCCTTCTTTCCACTTCGTTGAATTAAAACACATATTTACAGTATTGTGATTGTGATACAGCGTGTGTGTAGCGTGAAATCAAGCTGTTACCGCAAATGTGTCAAGTTCTTGTATGATTCGATGAAAACATTTCCGAAATTCTGAAAGGAGAGTGCGAACTAAGTTTTCTAGTCAAAGCAAATTACTGTACTGTATTACATGAAGCTACGAATAATTTTAAAAATGTTGAGAAATTTAAACTAAATTACTCATCACGCAGTGTTGGTCAGAGTTGCCCGAAAATGCAAAAAATAGCATAAACCGTCGAACATATTACGTGTGATATTCAGGCTTAATTTTTAAACATTTTTCCGTGCCCAATTCCGGTTCGGGAATGCGGATTACGTACAGTGTATGTGTATTATGCAAACATGAGTACAGTATTCGGTACAGCCCACTGAACAAGTGTCTCTCTGGTATGAATTGCGGTTGGTAACCCTTCGAATGGTAAAAGATTCCTTTCCATCCTGAGGCACGGTTATTGGGGGTTTTTGTTGTTGAGCACAGGCAGATTTTGGTTCTACCAAAGGTCGCCAAAATGTAGCCTGGACAAGGTCGAAGTCATCGGGAAAAACCAGGGAGAGGAAGCATTTTGTGTACTTGGGCATACAATTTCGCAAAAAAACAATTCAAAACTCTGAAGCAAGGATCCACACGTGAAAAGCTCTACCCCAGCTCATCCAAGCTTAGAGTTCTCAAAAATAATAATTTCACCATTTTCCCGGAAGTGCGAAAATCGTGACTCAACAATAACTACGAAGAGAAGAAATAAAAAACAGGATCCTTTCTGGTTAACTTTGGCGTGGTTATTTGTAAAACTGTGCGTAAATCCAGCTGAGTTGAATGATGAGGAACATTTCGGGAATTTTCCTGGGGACGGGTGATGTTTGAGAATTCGGAGACCCCCGGAATCTGGGAGGAGTTTTTTTTTTTTTTTTTTTTTTTGGAAATATGACGAGCATTCCATTCGCAACGAGCAGACTCACCACTGAGCATAGCGGCGGTGTCCGCGATGGCAGCAGGCTTGTCACTGAACCCAGCGTCCATCAAGGAATGGGTGTCGAGCATCGTCGGGGATTTCGACGACGACAACTGGTCCAGCGCCGGGAAGGAATTATTGCTCTCGGCCTCAGACTTGCCGTCCTCGTCCTCAGACTTGACGTCCTCGTCGTCCTCAGACACTGGCTCTGCTGACAAGTCTGTCCAGACAATTCTCATGCAGGTTTTTTGGCAGCACTCTAAATAATCCCCACGGAACACGGGTCATCCAACAACTCCAGGCGATGTATGAATTTCGTCAGAAAAAAAAAAAAAAAAAGTGGGCAGCCCGGCCTCACCGAACACGCCTTCCGTTCGTTCGTTCGGTAGCACGTGAACGTGAGAAGACGTGTTCGATTACACGGTCTGCCAAAAAAGGTGGGCCGAAAACACGGATTCGCCCCGCCCCCTCCCCCTATCCCACGAATTACGACGAGTTAGACAAACTACCGTCTGATAACTACAGCCTTCCGCGAGGGGAAACCTGTTATTCAAACATAAACACTTCGTCTCTACAGCGCTATGAGGTACAATTTAATTTTTCAATTGTGATGAGGCATCCCGGCCTGCAGGTTATTGAAGGGAAAACTCGGGGATTGCATCAAAGGTGTCGGTACGAACAGCCAAGAGGTCGATTCTCAGTAAATAAAATTTAAATTTTGTCAACAACGATGCGCATTTTATTATTTTTCATTCGTGGAACATCACCGTTCCGTTAATGTTCAAGCCGATTCGTCAAGAATTTCAGTTGGGAAGTGCCAATGCTGACGGAAGCTCATTTGATTGAACTGATTGTGTCAATTTCATGACAGAAAGACTCTACAAAATTGTGTCTGTATTACGAACTATAAAGTAAGGTCTTGGCCAGACACAATTCGTTCCATGAACATCTTCGTCAGCTGGGAAGTTTGTTCGCTCGATTTTTTTTTTTCAAGAACAACTTCCATGTATTTTGCGAAGAGACTTTTGGGACAAAACTTCATAAGCTGTCATAATAGCACTCAAACTGAAATGCCCCTGAATCGGTTTTCTCTCCAGAAAAATATTACTAACATCTTTTTCAAGCTGTATCTCGTATCCGTAAATATCAATTTCAAATTTTTGACAACAGTCCATTTCAGTGAAGATCACGAGATACATTTTCACCAAGTATTGCCCCAAAGGTACACCAAAAATTCCTACTCTCAAGTTTGAAGTTTCAAAAGTTTAAAGCGATGAGTTACTGGAATGCAAGTACACTTTGTCATAAAAAAAAATTTTCAGTTGAAAAAATTCGTTATGAGAGTCACTTACTCCAAAAGGAAAAATTCTGAAATTCGGATTATTATTTTTTACCCATGCTATTCTTTCTTAGGCGGAGACCCACTGAGCTGCAATGGCGGTTAATTCGTAACACAAGGTCTCTTATTCATGATCATCCATTTCCTGGTCTGCTGAATATTATCGCAAAGCGCCGTGAATCTGCATTGTTGTACAGCCCAGAACATATTTATTCGACGCAGAACAGAAATGAACCGAACTCAATTAGTTGTTAGAGCTGCCTTGTTTGCCGAAATGTCACTTCTGGTACGAAAACCGCTACTCGCCAAAAATCTTGCGAATGATCCGCATGTTGACTGTGGGGCATCCGAAAGGAAAATTTGCTTTAGGAAACTGTCTAGGAGATGATCACGTGTCAAGCTGAAAGTTTCCGGCACAGAATGAGCGGTACAATAAAATACTTAGGTTCAGCTCCTTCGCAAGCAGACACCTTCAGAAGGTTTACTTCCTGACATGAACAGGTGATTTGTTATCCTGGGCAAGGCTTTACGATGTATCGTGAAGGTTGGGGAAATTACGGCAGCCGTGCCGAGGACTGGAGAGAAACGTGATCTTGCAAAAAGTCTTGGCCGCCAAAACATGCGGAACTTTCCGAAAAGTCTAAAAAAAAAATATAATCTGGCCGTCAATAAAAAACTCCGCTTCTCGCTCATATCGAAACAACTCGACTCACGTCAAACTCGTTTATACTTCACAAGATCTTGAATCAATCGTAATCTGATGAAGGTTTTTCAATTTCTGCCGAATCATTTTTATGCCGTATTCGCTCCCGGTTGCACAAAAAGTAAATACAGTACTTGTAAATCTTGGACAAAAATTTTTTTCTTCATTTTTTGATAAAGTGTCGAATTCTATCGCAACAGTCAACTCGGGAGTTCTGACGATTACGCCGAGGAGAATTATTTTGTAAGAAATTCACAGCCACAGAACAAGTTTGAAAGCAGTTATTTATTCGGTACCGTGAATCTTAAAATTAGGAACCAAAATGCCCTGATCTATGAAACAGCCAGAATCCAAAAAGACACATTAAAAATTTTCGCACCAACAGGTGAACTCCCATTACAGTTGTTCTCAAAAATTTAACAGAACAGTTTTTTTTAACACGGAGAATATTTTCGTTCAGAAGCTGCTTACAAATTGTTGGGAGAAAAATTGACTGAATACCATATTTCACCTCAGTACTATGCACCCGTAAGTAAAATTTTTACCAGCATTTTTCAGCCAGTTGATGACATTCTATCCTCAAATAATTCGTGCATACCAATTCTTATCAGCAAAAAATTACTGTACTGTATTTTGAAAATAATAACAGATCTAACTTGAATTTAATTCGAATAAGTTGATTCTCAGGAGTATTCGTCTTTTAAAATTGTTTTGAAAATAGGCTCAAATTTTTGCATTAGAATTTAAGATTGATGCACGCTTCAACTTATAAATTTGTGGATCTGTTTATGTCACGCACCCTCCTTTGTAAACTCTTGATTTTTTTTTTATGGAGGTTATCATGTTACTCAGGTGACCATGGCATGCGATAAAATACAGGTAGACCATGATAAGACAGCACCATCAATTGTTCGTGAGGTTTGTGGCGTTTTAATGAGGTTGGTAGTTGAAGTGCGTCGCCGGTTTTTTGAAAGAAGCTAAAATGTGAAAATTGTAGGAAATCAAAGTCATATTCTTCTAGAAAAAATGAAAAACAGCACTGGGATGCATAAACTATGTCTGGCTACGGTTCCGAACAAGTAAATTACGAGAGTGATCTTCTGGTTTGAGGTCCTCTTTTTTCAATGTGACGCCTCTCACAGAAACTTGAATTCTTGAAGGAAAGGAAGGTACAGCGAGATCCCCACATGCGGACACCTCGACCAGCAGACAATTTGACATAGGGACACTTATTTTCCCAGCAAAAATTAATAAAAAGGCCCAACATGAGGACACTGACTCAATATAGGGACATTTTGTGATAATATTGCAAATACATTTCAGGCCAAATTACAAGAAACAGATATTTCCAACCCTAAAATTGGTGTAAGAAAAGTTCTTGTGCATTTCTCTCACCAATTTGCCATCCATTTAGCTAATTTTAAAAAATTACCTCCAGCATATAGAGGGACTTCTACATTTTTTTTTTCCCCTTGAATGTTCTTTTTGTAGATGCCAACATTTTGATGTACAGTACAGAGATACACTATTAAATTCTCCAAATGTTCCTATTGAGTTGAAAATGTATCCACTAATTCAAATTCAAGTGGCAAACAATTTTTTTCAGGGAATTCTGAAGAATATTTCTTCCATAAAACACCAATTAAAATTTATGTAATCTAAGTCCATGGGAAAACAAGACTCAACTTAGGGACAATTCAACTTAGGGGCACTCTTGATGCACCAATTGTGTCCGCATCTGGGGGTCTCACTGTATATTGCTCATGATGACAAAATTCCTGGTAGAATCGACCCCGCTGTATAGTACGCTCTCAATTTCTTTACTGAATCTCTTATTAGAAACCTCATCAGCACTTCACTTCCACAGAAGAAACATGGGAGAGAAGGAGACACACGGGGGACACAGGGTTGTTGTTGTTGTTGTTGTTGTTGGATAACCACACAGGAGTTGTAGCAGCAGCAGCAGCAGAACTCACCGGCAACCTTGCCGCCGAGGTAGTCGTCCTTGCACACGAATCGGCAGTCGGGCAACACGTACAAATGGTCTCCAGTCGACATCTGGCGGCGGCAAATGGAGCACACGAAGCAGGCCAAGTGAAACACCTTGTCCCGCGCCCGGCGGACCAGGTCCGTCGGACTCACGCCTTCCCCGCACCCGCTGCACTTGGTGCCGAAGCGTCTGCGACGAAGCCAAACGAGAGAGAGAGAGAGAAAGAGGGGGCTAATTACACGTCTAATTGCCGCATTCCGACCCGCATTCCGCGCGCACGTGGTGAACGTGTAATTTGGGCGGGTGGGGTTGTCAGCAACCGATTCCCGCCTCTACACACTCGACTGCTCCTCCCCTCGCCTCGCCTCGCCTTCAATCTCGGCCACTATTTCTGGCGGCGCCTCGTCGTCGGACTCGCTCGAGCCTTATGGAAAAATTCCTGAGGACAACTACTCGGTATGTATCCCGTCAACCTGTTCAATACCCTTTTCGAGACCCTCGCATTTTTTTTTCCTCTCCCCCCATCACTTCCAAATTCCTGTACAGAAAAGAAGATTTTTCGACGCTTTCCTCAGTCTGATGCATCAACTTTGGACACGGACTGGACGGGGGCGGGCCTTGAGGCAGAATTAAACCTCTTTCGAGTCACCCATGCCTTTTTTTTTTAAACAATTTTTATGCATCAAGTGCGGTACCAGTAGTACAGTACCACCAACTAATACTGGTGGTATACAGAGGAACCTGCCGACTTGAGTGGAGTATATAGGACAGAGTTGCTTTTCGGGTGTCTTCGTGTTCTTTTGGCTAACGATTGATCAAATTCGATACAGAGGCTCTTGTATTTTCTTTTATTGTATTTTCTATTTTCTTTGTGTAGTATTTGTATTTTATTTTATTTTTGTTATCCATTTGTACTCTGTTTCCTGCTCTGAAGTGATTAAAATGTCTTTGAGTGGATTTGGGTTGGGTGGGGAAGGGGTTTGGATGTGGAAATTTTGATTGAACCTTGTGAACGCTGAAAAGTGGCAAATAAAGTTTTCTGTTCATTCATTCATTCATTCATACAGAGGCTCTTGATTCGTTTGCTAAATTGGGATTGACGCATAGCTTCTCTGGAATCAAGAGTAACCACGTCAGTCAAAATGCTCATGCTTCAGAAGATAACCTGGATACCTGGGTCAAAGACTGGGTGCTTTCTTCCAGACAATCAAAGCTAGATCCTCCAAGAACCCTGGAGCGATTTCGTTTCCAGACTCTTTACCGCGCCCAATAATCAAACCATCATGAAAAAAAAATTGAAATGCCGTCATGATGAGGCTTATTCGTTGACTAAATGCTCCAGGAATTATTCTCATGGGATATCAAAAAAGGGGCACGACAAATATCAACCACAATAAATTACCATGGTGAATTTTCATTGTGAATGTACTCAGTGCAGTGAATGATATTTTAAAGAACCAGTGAATCCACAAGAAGGCCCGTTTTCTTAAGCAGCCAGCAACATAGGAATCCAGGAGAAAGTCTGCGTGAAGCATGTGTCACAAATATCAAGCGACTCATGCAAATTTTTGAACAAAGCCCGGACAGATTAGCACAGTTTCAATAACATAATATACATGTGTAAATGTAGCCAACCAGTGCTCAGTAAATCTTAAAAGAAAGTACAATACAAGATGCCACAAAATGAAGAAACGTCAAATACTTTCTGGAGCAGCATAACATGCAGTCATTTACAAAAATAATTCCATGAAAACATTCCTCTGAAATTTATTTCAATGTGAAGGCTATTCTTTCCTTGGTGTAGAAGTGTTGAGGAATAACTTACCACAACATAAATTTGAAAGAAAGTGAAAAGTGGATCTAAAAATAGAATAAAGTAAGGTTCAAATGAAACTCAAAATCAGCCCGGGACAAGGCCAGAAATCCTTCTAGGATTTCTGATTAAAACTGTTGAAAAGTTATTTAAGATGTCCCAAAAATTAAGGTTTTGATCGGTGATATTCACAAAACTTTTGCAACAACTCAGCAGAACTCTTCAGAAAAATGAGTTTTACACACACACTTTTCACTCTGAAAGTTCAATCGCGAGTAAAGTTTTGTTCATTGGTGAAAAAACAAACAGCAAAAATCGGTTCTTGATTTTATTGTTTTTCAGGCGGTGGTTTGGTTTTCCTTGAAGAGGTGTTTTCTTTGAGGAGTGGTTCTGTTATCAGTTACTGGTTTATTAAATTTAATAGTTGTTGTTGCTTGGTGCGGACGTGTAATTTCCCAACAATAAGGAAATTATAGGCAGCATATTTTGCATGCTACGGCACAAGGACCACCATGAATAGCATTCGAAGATTTGGCAAAATGGAAAAATATATTATGCAGGGCAATCATCCATTTTGAAGCCGAAAACACGTATTTTAGGAAGCACCTTGAATGCCTATGACTTGCTAGTGCTCTTTATAGCAGAAACATTCCAGAACACTTTGCAGTTCAGCACAAAAAATGCATCCAACAATTATTGAGAACATATATTTAGTGCATTAAATAGTTTCAGGGAAGTATCTGAGCGCACCTTTCCAATCACTTAAATACAAGAACAGTCTATTTCATAACTCAATTCAAATAGACTTTGTAATGCTAAATAGCAGTTGTCTATGGGAGTTCTGAAATTACTGATTATTTTTGCATCATGCAGGCAGTGCTTTGATGGATCCCTCCCAAACACTCTGGCCACCAAATTCACCAAATCGTGCAAATTTGCTCGCCTGCCTCTAATTGGCCGGGGTAAATAAATCGAGGAATTTTCAGCACGCACTGAGAGGATGCCCAGAAAAAGTACAGGGGTTTCACGTTTTTAATCCACTGTTTATGTTATTTGATACCCAGATTTTAATCATCCAATTCCCCAACATGCCTCGGATAAGAAACTATTTTTATTTAGGAGCGTTAAACTTTTTAATTGATCATAAACTAGAAAGACTGTCCCATAAGTAAATACATTGCCCAAAACCTTGCATACATATGTTCAAGCGAGACGTTTGTCTATCGCGAATGTTCAGTAGAACCGATCATTGCAACAAATCTCTGTCATTTTGATAATCTTTTTTAAGAACAGATATATTTTCAAGTTCTTCTGGTATTTGCCAAAACGTTCTTCCAGTCTGGTTAAAACACCTTTTTCGTCATAACGTACGTTTTCTTCGGGTCCGGAAGTACCTAAGGTGGAATTGTAAGGAGATGTCACTTTATCACTGACCTAAGAATGCAATAGTTTTCTGAGGATCTGTCAAATTTCCCCGATGCTGTGAGAAAGCGTCGGCACTTGTTACCTGTTGATTCGGACCATCAACACTTTAGTCCTAAAAAAAAACAAACACCCACACACACACACACACACACACATGTCCTTAAAACCAGTGCTGATTCTCTCTTGTCAGAAAACATTGGTATTGGGACTCAATTGTGAAATGTTAATGCACTGGATCCCTGCTGATGAGGGGCCTCTCAGAGTTGAACAGAGTGCTTCCCGCTGCTTCATCTTATTATGGACAAGCATGTTTCACGTGACCGAAAAGCTGTCAACCTCTCGAAATTCTTGTGTCACGCGTTCAAAACAGCGAATCTGCCATCTAAAAAGGCGATACTGTATTTACTTTGCAGACATCACGTTGACGCATGGCGCAATGCGTTTTCACGATTAATTTTGGAAAGTGAACTTTTTCCTCACACACTCACAAAAAGGTGATTTCCGACCTGACGGTAAATAAGAAAATGAATGAAACCCGTGTGTTGTAGATTTTTGACGTTTACTTCACTAAGTGCCGAATGTATCGGAAGTGATGTTGATGGTAATGTTAAAAGAGTCAATTGCCTCAAATACCGCAGTTAAAAACTTTAAAATACACGTTTCGTTTTGCGTATTTCGTTTTTCGATTCAGAGATTGAGCGTTTTATTAGAATAGTGACAGACGTCGATTTCCTAAACATTCTTCTGATAATGCCTCAGGAATGTCTGGATCTCAAAACTCCAAGTTGATTCAAATGAGGGATTCCATCATGTATAATCGCATAACAACAATTTGCATCTGTGAGGTATCCAACAACACAACTTATTTTTGTAAATGTACAAGGTAAGAAGATGAACTGTTACCTTTATACGATTTCTCATGAGACATTCTCTCCAAATTGTCCAATCATTTAAACTTTATCTGGGAGCAAGCTGAGGACATTGTGCTTTAAATTGGGATCAGTAATTGCCCAATGCTGCAATATTTAGTACCAAGATTTTTTTAAATCAGGGATGGGAAGAAAGTGTATGTATTTACATCAGTTGTGCAATTGTACATTTTGGGGTGCTTATTTCTCCATTTTCCATTCTGATGCAATGGAATGTGTTTGGATGAATGTGGCCAAGGAAGGGAGGGGGTTTGGATGCAGTAGCAATGTCTGATGCTTGTGAATGTTGAAAAGCAGAAAATAAAGCTTGCCGTTCAATTCAATTCAAGTGATATCTCAGCAGAGATACAAAAATATGCATCATTGTACATTTACAATGTACAATAATGCATATCATTGGACTCTGGCTGGATTGGTTTGAGATACAGCATAGCTAGAAAATTTTAAATGTTCTTTTTTAAGAAATTTATCCAGGTGTGGCAGATATTTTGATTGTACAGTACAGTTTTCATGCATCAAATTGTCTATTCATGTTGGGGTATATGCCATAGTCCCATTGACCGATTTTTGTATCTTTTTGTTTATTTTTGTATTTCAGTAGGCCTCCACTATATGATGGGCCCAATTAATGATGGATCCACTTTATGTCAGACTGCTGGCTTTGAAATTTACCCCTCTCAATGACAGGAGACTCGATATATGTTGGCCATTCACCATCAGGTATAACACAAAGAATGCATCCAAAATGGCATTTTCCATGTCAGAGGTTTAGGGAAATGAATTTTGAGGGTTTCTCTGAATTCAGTGAAGTATACTATAAGCAGTAACTGTTCAATTTGTTTTTTTTTTACCTTACCTTTTAGCTGGACTGCACTGTACAATCAATCAAAAAGTGAATCAATTTTTGACTTGACATAGCTCAGCAGCAAAATTTAGATGTCTCCCTCCAGTCCTGAGCAACTGAAAGCTGCAACTTCTGCTCAAATAATATGCAATGCATTGCCAATCCATAATGATTCTGTTGATGCTTTGATGATGCCCAACAAATTTTCGAGATGATTGCTCATAGCAACACACACAGTTGAATCCAGGACTCGACCGAGCGACATTTTCATGAAACAATGCAGCCGTTACTTGGCCAAATTCCTGCTCGCACAAAAATGAGAGGAGAGATCGAAGTTTATACTGCGGCCATTCAAACCCAATGCAGAAAGGGTTAACAGCAGGGTCTGAATTCGGTAGGAAGTACTCGTAATCAGGGTACTTGGTCAAGGGGGGAGCAGAAGGTAATGATCGGCATTTGTTCGATTCTCGCAACAACAACAAAAAAATTTCTTGATCGTTACTCGATTCCCCTCTCGCAGAATTTTAGAAATTTATTCGATTTTTTTTTTCACCACTGAACAGCGTCGGCTCGTTTGTGAAGTATTTTCCCGAGGTCTTCTTCTGTTTCATAGCCAACGGTCGATGGCGAGGGGAACTTTCTGCTTGTTTGCTCAATTTTCCCGAAAATCGGTTTCTTGGGGCCGAGAAAAGATCTTAGCTCAGTACGATTTAATCTGGAACTAAAGATCAAGACGATTTTTCATTGAAGAGTGGAAGACGAAGTCACGGTCGTTGTTGACCAATGAAGCAATCTAAAATTGGAACAAAATCCGGGATGGCTTGAAAACTATAAACGTTTTCAACACCCGGATGCAAGATTTCATTGGTCCTGATGCAGAAATCAGTTGGGTTCATTCCATTGACTCATACTGCAGTGTTCAGAGAATGTGTCAAGGATGATTGTTTTGCTAGAAACGTTCTGAGAATGCTTATGAGACGTGATTTCTCCTTAAAATTCTTTCAAAAACTTCAGAATTCTCGAGCAGAGATTCAATACTGCTTTTCTGGGCACATATGCAACCAATGGAACAGAATAAGACCCTTGTACGCCTCATCAGTTGAGCACACCTTTCATTTTCCTTTCAGAATCAAGCGGTTATACATTGATTGAGCATAATTTCAAAATGTACAGTGAGACCCCCACATGCGGACACCTTGCCCTGCAGAAAATTTGACATAGGGACACTTATTTTCCCGTAAAAAATTAATAAAAGAGGCCCAACATGAGGATACTCACTTAACATGGGGACATTTTGTGATAAAATTGCAAATACATTTCAGGCCAAATTCCAGGAAACAGATATTTCCAGCCCTAAAATTAATGTAAGAAAAGTTCTTGGGCATTTTAGATACACTATTCAATGCTCCAAATGTTCCTATTGAGTTGAAAATGTATTCACTAATTCAAATTCAAGTGGCAAAGAAATTTTTTCAGGGAATTCTGAAGAATATTTCTTCCACAGAACACCAAATAAAAATTATATAATGTAAGTCTAAGGAAAAACAAGACTCAACTTAGGGACAATTCAACTAAGGGACACTCTTAATGCACAAATTATGTCCACATCTCGGGGTCTCACTGTATTTCAAGCCCATTTGAATGCCCCCATACAGAGACTTGTGTCTATTCAATTTCTAAAGAGCTTGCGATCATTCCATGGGATAATTGGTGGTGTATTCATTGCAAATGAGGATTGGTAAAAAAGAAAAATTTTGACGATGGAGAAGAGAACCCATAAGAACTTTCGAGCTCTTCAAAATACTGTACACCCACCAATTTCAATGGTCATTTAAATAAAGCCCTAGTTCACTATTGAATCGAATCACGAATTCTGAATGCAATGCATTCTGCATGAGTTGCGCGGAATTTCTGCAAGTTGGACGAACCAAAAAGTGGCAAATGTGCACAGTTAAATATCAATTTTGCTGTGTTTCGCATACGCAACACGTGATTCATTAAAATCTAAAATAAAAAGGAACCCTCTTCAGTCATGCTGCCTCAGAGGGGCCCAAAATAAATTTAATCAATAAAGATCTTAAATTGGGGATACAATTATTTTTTGTTGTTGTTGTGGGAAACATGTTGGACCGTTGATTGATGATGTTATGGACCTCAAACTGCATAAAGGAGTTGACTGGATGTTGAACTTGAAATCAAGGGAACATTTGCGCGATCAATAGCTCACTTGTTTTGGGAAAGCTCCATGTTATTTTCATCCCACATAAACGACACAGTCAAAAGTTCTAAACAGCCTATGCATTCTTTTCTTTTTTTAAATGCAAATAAGTCTGCACATAGGGAAACCCTCGCCAAAGGAATTCAATCACGCTTTGTTGTATATATATCGTCGAAACGGTATGCAGCCCTACCAATGTATTTTTTCGGAGACCCTAATTAACGAAACAGTTTCTCTTTCCGCGATTTACGTTCTGAGTTCAAAAGTTTTGACCTCACTTGAACCCGAGACCCCTTCCAGTTGATGGAAGTTTTCTGAAAGCTGTTCATCACATTTTCTCTCCGATTGGCTACTTGTCAGCAAATGAAAGCTCGAATACACAAAAAAAATATTTTTTTGACCGGCGGGGATCGGACTTATATGCATTGAATGACGATGACAATTTAAATCAAGGGGCGTTTCTCATGGAGAATTTTTTTAATGCTCGTGGAAAATTTTAGATTGGCTTTTCTTTGCCTGTCTTTACCCACACTTTTTTTTCAAATTAAGCTCAAAAATTGGGCTGTGTGTCATAGTCTATTGTTTTCTGAAAATTTTGCTAATTCTTGGTGTGCCTCATACTTGAACCACAGTCAGGGAATTTCAAAGAAATACCCCTTTGAGTTCCATGAAAAAAATGTTTGCCACTTGTATTTGATTCAGTTAATATCTTTTCAACCCAATAAGAACATTTGGAGCATTGAATATTATACCGCTGTACAGTTCATTGACATGTTGACATCTGTAAAATTAACATCCAAGTCACAAGGAGAGAAGGAGTCCCTCTGTGCTATAGGTAATTTTTTTTTAATTAGCAGAATGGATGGGGAAATGATGGGAGAAACACCAAAAAAATTTCTTGCGTAGATCTTTGGGTTGGGAATATCTGTCTTGCAATTACGATTAATAAAAGTCAATTTTCCTAAAATGTATTTTGCATTTTGTCATGCAATGTACCCATGTCAAGTCAGTGTCTGTATATTGGGCCTTTTTTAAGAATTTTTTCTAGAAAAATAAATGCCCCTATGTCAAATTGCCCCCTTGTCGAGGTGTCCGCATGTGGGGGTTTCACTATTTCCTAAAATGGAGAGACATTTCGCATAACAGAAAATCGGGAGGCGCGTAAATGGATTGATTTTTTCTCTCTCACAAAAATGGAAGTGCACATCTTACATGAAGGTGCTGCAATAAGATGTTGGTAAATGACGGAGTGAATTCGACAAAGCACACGATAAATATCTTGGTCACAGATGATTCAAAGTAAAGTTGCACAATATTAAAAGTGGGGTTCCTCGCCTGAGCGGAAGTCCCACAAACATTGTGAATTACGGTATACTGTACATTCAAACGCAGGTAGATTCTGTGAAAGGTCCCTGAAACATTTTTGCTCATGGAATTTCGCAGGTTAGGGGTAGGTCACCTTTACTATGCACTCGAGCAAATATTGCACACTAATTCTGCGAAGAAGTAGAGTGCAGCATAGCAAGGGAATATTTCCCAGTCGGATCGAGTATCTCGGACATTCTCTGTCGTCCGATCAGAACCCATCAGGAAAGGAAAAAAAAACGCCGATTCATGATGCCAAATGTGCTCGGGTTCACTCATTGCACCCGTCACCCGCTGTTCGTGGGGACCCAAGGAAGGGGACTTGACCCGCGCGTGGCTCGCACGTGACCCAATCCCGGCCTAAATCCTTCCGGACCCCAGGACGGGAAGAGACAGGCCGCGCGGGTTGCAAATCGGGCAAATCTCGGGTTGATCAACGGGAGTGGGGATTCCCTCAAATGAATCGCCCAGAAGCGCAAACCAGAGCAGTCTCTTTCGAGCCAATTTTGAATTTTCCCTGTACCCAATCCTTTCTTGTAAAAGTGCTTGTGCAACCCCACATAAAATTGGCTTCTGCAGGTTCGGCCGAGCTACTCAAAAAAAAAAAAAAAAAAAA